TCTGTAGGGACTCATTTGAAGTTGATGTACTTCCTTGTGCTAGAGTGAGCAAGGGGACGGGGGAGCAGAGGAAGTGGGGTGTGTAGACATAAACAAAGTGAGAGAGGGAGGGAGGGAGGGGGAGAGAGAAAGGGAGAGAAGCCAAATCATTAGTTTTGAAAAGGTAGTGAGAGAGGCAGAGAGAAAGAGAGAGGTGGTCTCATCAGAGAGGATGTTTGCAACACAGCAGATTGCAGTTAGACGACTGAATCGGTGCACAGTAGTGTGAACCAGCTAACTGTCTGCCAGATTTCAGAGAGGGAGAGAAGAGAAGGTGCTCCGGAGAGAAGAACATTGGCACACTACACAAAGAAAGAGAGTGAGGAAAGGGGGGACGGAGAGGAAGGTAAGAGTTACTGACACAGAAACAAACCGGAGAGAGAGAGAGAAAGAAATAAAGAGAGGGAAAGAGAAACGTTAGTAGAGACAGTGGACTTTCTGTTCCTTTCACTAACAGCACTGAGGTAAGTTATTCCTTTTACCTTTTAAATGTCTGGTGAACAAACTTCTGTACACTCGTGGATATGAATGAACGCATTCTTGTCTGCAGTAGATTCAGTAAGGACTGTGGACTAGGTTTTTACCTAAGGGAATGCAAGGTAGAAACATACTGAAATGCAAGGTAGAAAAGTATTGAACGGTTTGAACTTTAAATCCTCTTTGTTCAGTCATTTGAGGAGAACAGTGAGAGTATACACATAGATGTGAGATTGTACTGTAGTAGTTCTTACTAGTGTAGTTATGTAAAGTGCAGTCGTTGCTCTTATTGTGGTGTATGAGACTAAACCAGACCGTATAGTGTCGTAAATAACTACCTGCATCCGAATGGTTGACTTAACAGAGTGTTTGAATCTGCAGTATGTTGTCATTTAAACATGGCACACACAATAGCACACAGTAATTCCCTTTATGGCAATGTTTGGCGTCATAAATATCTATCTGCATCTCTATGGCTGAAAAGCAGAAGTCTGTGATGGTAGTCTTTGAGGTCAGGTTGTAGGACAGGGAATGTGGCAATGATGTTCTGAAGTTTAGAATGCTGCCTTTTGTTCATTATTTTTGGAACAAGCCATGCTCAAAACCACGCAGTATAGCACTAATTCTAAGGGCAATTTGAGGCCATTATGTATTTCCCAATGAGCCACTGTTCCAGTTTATCCACTAGCTACCTGGCTCAACTCTCACAGTAAATCCTAAAGCCTAAAGGATTGGATTACCCTTAAAATGTTATTATAATAGAACACCAATAACACCTACACAAAGGTGTGATATCATTGTCTCCCCAAGCCAAATATAACTTCTGTGAACCTTGGGTGTTAGCTATAATAGAATTGAAATGATACCCGTACCAAGGTATGTGGGTGTTCATTTACTCCACTGTTGAAGTAAATTCTGAAGAAAGCCTACACGGGATTGTGCAACCCTTCAATGTTATTGTTTAATACAATTTACATTTACGTCATTTAGCAGACGCTCTTATCCAGAGCGACTTACAAATAGGTGCATTCACCTTATAGCCAGTGGGATAACCACTTTACAATGTTTTATTTTTTATTGAATTATATATTTTATATATATATATATTATTATTATTTTTTTAGGGGGGGGGTGGGTTGGAGTAAAGGGGGGGGTGGGGGTAGAAGGATTACTTTATCCTATCCCAGGTATTCCTTAAAGAGGTGGGGTTTCAAATGTCTCCGGAAGGTGGTGAGTGACTCCGCTGTCCTGGCGTCGTGAGGGAGCTTGTTCCACCATTGGGGTGCCAGAGCAGCGAACAGTTTTGACTGAGCTGAGCGGGAACTATGCTTCCGCAGAGGTAGGGGAGCCAGCAGGCCAGCAGGCCAGAGGTGGATGAACGCAGTGCCCTCGTTTGGGTGTAGGGACTGATCAGAGCCTGAAGGTACGGAGGTGCCGTTCCCCTCACAGCTCCGTAGGCAAGCACCATGGTCTTGTAGCAGATGCGAGCTTCAACTGGAAGCCAGTGGAGTGTGCGGAGGAGCGGGGTGATGTGAGAGAACTTGGGAAGGTTGAACACCAGATGGGCTGCGGCATTCTGGATGAGTTGTAGGGGTTTAATGGCACAGGCAGGGAGCCCAGCCAACAGCGAGTTGCAGTAATCCAGACGGGAGATGACAAGTGCCTGGATTAGGACCTGTGCCGCTTCCTGTGTAAGGCAGGGTCGTACTCTCCGAATGTTGTAGAGCATGAACCTACAGGATCGGGTCACCGCCTTGATGTTAGCGGAGAACGACAGGGTGTTGTCCAGGGTCACGCCAAGGCTCTTCGCACTCTGGGAGGAGGACACAACGAAGTTGTCAACCGTGATGGCGAGATCATGGAACGGGCAGTCCTTCCCCGGGAGGAAGAGCAGCTCCGTCTTGCCGAGGTTCAGCTTGAGGTGGTGATCCGTCATCCATACTGATATGTCTGCCAGACATGCAGAGATGCGATTCGCCACCTGGTTATCAGAAGGGGGAAAGGAGAAGATTAGTTGTGTGTCATCAGCGTAGCAATGATAGGAGAGGCCATGTGAGGATATGACAGTGCCAAGTGACTTGGTGTATAGCGAGAATAGGAGAGGGCCTAGAACTGAGCCCTGGGGGACACCAGTGGTGAGAGCACGTGGTGCGGAGACAGCTTCTCGCCACGCCACTTGGTAGGAGCGACCGGTAAGGTAGGACGCAATCCAAGAGTGAGCCGCGCCGGAGATGCCCAGCTCGGAGAGGGTGGAGAGGAGGATCTGATGGTTCACAGTATCAAAGGCAGCAGACAGGTCTAGAAGGACAAGAGCAGCGGAGAGAGAGTTAGCTTTAGCAGTGCGGAGAGCCTCCATGACACAGAGAAGAGCAGTCTCAGTTGAATGACCAGTCTTGAAACCTGACTGGTTTGGATCAAGGAGGTCATTCTGAGAGAGATAGCAAGAGAGTTGGCTAAAGACGGCACGCTCAATAGTTTTGGAGAGAAAAGAAAGAAGGGATACTGGTCTGTAGTTGTTGACATCAGAGGGATCGAGTGTTGTTTTTTTGAGAAGGGGTGCAACTATCGCTCTCTTGAAGACGGAAGGGACATAGCCAGCGGTCAAGGATGAGTTGATCAGCGAGGTGAGGTAAGGGAGAAGGTCACCGGAGATGGTCTGGAGAAGAGAGGAGGGGATAGGGTCAAGCGGGCAGGTTGTTGGGCGGCCTGCCGTCACAAGTCGCAAGATTTTATCTGGAGAGAGAGGGGAGAAAGAAGTCAAAGCATAGGGTAGGGCAGTGTGAGCAGGACCAGCAGTGTCATTTGACTTAACAAACGAGGATCGGATGTCGTCAACCTTCTTTTCAAAATGGTTGACGAAGTCATCCACAGAGAGGGAGGGGGGGGGGGATTCAGCAGGGAGGAGAATGTGGCAAAAAGCTTCCTAGGGTTAGAGGCGGATGTTTGGAATTTAGAGTGGTAGAAAGTGGCCTTAGCAGCAGAAACAGATGAAGAGAATGTAGAGAGGAGGGAGTGAAAAGATGCCAGGTCCGCAGGGAGTCTAGTTTTCTTCCATTTCCGCTCGGCTGCCCGGAGCCCTGTTCTGTGAGCTCGCAATGAGTCATCAAGCCACGGAGCTGGTGGGGAGGACCGAGCCGGCCGGGAGGATAGGGGACATAGAGAGTCAAAGGATGCAGAAAGGGAGGAGAGGAGGGTTGAGGAGGCAGAATCAGGAGATTGGAGGGAGAAGGATTGAGCAGAGGGAAGAGATGATAGGATGGAAGAGGAGAGAGTAGCGGGAGAGAGAGAGCAAAGGTTGCGACGGCGCATTACCATCTGTGTAGAGGCAGAGTGAGTAGTGTTGGAGGAGAGGGAGAGAGAAAAGGATACAAAGTAGTGGTCGGAGACTTGGAGGGGAGTTGCAGTGAGATTAGTAGAAGAACAGCATCTAGTGAAGATGAGGTCAAGCGTATTGCCTGCCTTGTGAGTAGGGGGGGACGGTGAGAGGGTGAGGTCAAAAGAGGAGAGGAGTGGAAAGAAGGAGGCAGAGAGAAATGAGTCAAATACCACCACCCACACTGTATCATAGTTTTCCTCATGAGGCAAACAAAACCTGTTCTGTGACATGAGAGTTACACTGCATTTTTACATTTTAGTCCTTTAGCAGACACACTTATCCAGAGCGACTTACGGTAGTGAATGCATCCATTTTTGTACTGGTGCCCCGTGGGAATCGAAACCACAACCCTGACGTTGCAAGCGCCATGCTCTACCTACTGAGCAATACGGGACTACTTGGAAACACTCTTTGGTTGCTTCCCAAATGGCACCCTATTCCCTATATAGTGCACTACTTTTGACCAAACCCTGTTAAAAAGTAGTACACTACATAAGGAATAGGGTGCCATTTTGGAAGCAGACTAAGTTAATAAGTGATATTACTGTAAGGAAAGAGCTGGACCGACTACTCACTGTAAAAAAACAAAAACATCTAAAAGCACAGGTGCAAACATCAGCTTAAAGTGAGGTAAGAGTCTGGGGATGCATTTTCCCAGCTCACAGTCCCTCACAGAGACATAGGAGTGCTGAGTGTACCTACCTGGATGTCCTCATAGGGGTGCTGAGTGTACCTACCTGGATGTCATCATAGGGGTGCTGAGTGTACCTACCTGGATTTCCTGATAGGGGTGCTGAGTGTACCTACCTGGTATAATACACATAGTAAAAGTGTTATAAGTTACTCAATCTGTCCCCTCATATGTCAAGATGATTTAAGAGCTTGACATATGCATGTACGAGTAGCCTGGTGTAGGCTACTCGTACATGCATGTCCTTAGACTCCTCGTTACTTGGTAGAATTGACAGGCACACAGATGTAGGCTCATTCCTCCAATACGACAGGTCATCGCATGCCAAGTTGCCAAATGGATGTGGTGACAATGTTTTGTCATTTTTGGAGGTCATAAAACAATTCAGTCAATGTTTCCACTGTGTGCGTGTTTCAGATGGAGGAGTATACTGTGACAGTTGCTACAGGCACATCAGAGTATTCAGGCACCAATAACTACATCTACATTACTCTTATGGGAGAGAATGGAAACAGTGAGCGAACAATACTGGATAACCCTGGACTGGACTTTTGTAGAGGAGCGGTGAGTATGGCAGCACTGTGTGTGTGTGTGTGTGTGTGTGTGTGCATTCATGCTCCCAACCCTCCTCTCTCACACAAAAGGATCAGTATAAATTCTCTCTCGCTCCCTCCCTCCCCTCCAGGTGGATGAATACAAGGTGTGTAGCCCGGCTCCTCTGGGTCGTGTCATCTTGGTGCGTCTGGAGAAACAGAGGTACTGGGTAGAGGATAACTGGTTCTGTCTCTATGTCACTGTGGCGCCACCAGGAGGTGGGACAGCCCTCACCTTCCCCTGTAACCGCTGGCTCATAGGAAACGTCAAGGTGGAGCTACAAGAAGGCACAGGTAAATGGTAAAAGAAAGAGGTTGCCTTTCAAGATACTGATCTCAAGTCAGTTTTGTGATAAAGGTTGGGTTTTGGGGTGAGAAAGCTGATCCTAGATTTGGTCAAACAAAGGTTGAAGGTCAAATAGAGGTTAGAGAAGGATGTACATGCGAGTGAGTCATCTCTCTCTGTCTCTCTCTCTCTCTCTCTCTCTCTCCTCTGTCTCTCTCTCTCTCTCTCTGGTCGCTCTGTCTCTCTCTCGCCTCTTCTGTCTCTATCTCTCTATCTCTCTGGTCTCTCCTCTCCTGGTCTCTCTCTCTCTCTCTCTGTCCTCTCTCTCTCTCTCTTTCTCTCTGTCGTCTCTCTGTCTCTCTCTCTTCTCTCTCTGTCCTCTGTTCTCTCTCTCTCTCTCTCTTCTCTCTTCTCCTCTCTCTCTCTCTCTCTCTCTCTTCTCTATCTCTCTCATCTCTCTCTGTCTCTCTCTCTCCTCTCTCGCTCTCGTCTGCTCTCTCTCTATCTCGCTCTCTGTCTCATCTCTCTCTCGGCGCTTCTCTCGCTCTCTCTCTTCGCTTCTCTCATCTTCTCTCTCTCTTGCTCTCTTTTCTCTCTCTCTTCTCTCTCTGTCTCTCTCTCTCTACTCTGTCTCTCTCTGTCTCTCTCTCTCTCTCTCTTCTTCTCTCTCTCTTGTCTCTCTCTCTCGCTCTCTCTCTCTCGCTCCTCCTCTCTCCTCTGTCTCTCTCTTGCTCTCTCTTTCTCTCTGTCTCTCTCGCTCTCCTCTCTATCTCTCCTCCTTCAGCAAAGAGACTCAGAGACGACACCTCTCCTCAGCTTTTGGCTCACAGAAAAGCAGAACTGCAGGAGAGACAGAGGATATACAGGTCAGACATAGAGGAGAGACCAATGACAGAACAACCCCATCCAGTGTGACAGAAGACTACGAAACACACATTTGCACACAACTTCTACATCCCTCAGCTATCCAGTTTCCTTACGTTTATGTTGTTTTTTTTTTACAGAGTCATGGGTCGGATCCAGTACATCCAGAAAGCAGATCCAGGGCGTTCGACAATAGAGGGACGACTTTTGAGGCCACACACTGTAGCCATACAACATCATACAGATCCCCCCAGCAAACGAGCCAAGTTTACCATGTTGGTTTCAATGCTAAAATGGGTTAGGGTACTGGTTCCTCAGTTTATCCAAGAAGAGGCAGTTATAAATGTCGCTTGAATGGATTAGAGGAGCGGACTTGAAGGAGCTCCAACACAGCGGAGCCATACATACATACAGACAAAAAGACCCCACCCCCACACGCCCAAGGGCAAATGAAGTTCCCAATGCTAATAAGAGCTTCTCATTTTAGAGAAAATAGGTTGAAAATGGATGGGATGAAGGACCTCAACTAACAGGAAAACCAAGAAAAAGGAAAACATAGAAGACATAATAAAAGAAAAGAAAGATAAGGAAAGAAAAGATTAAAAATGAAGGAAGAAAGAGAGAAAAACGGTCCCCCACCTCCTTCCCCTCCTCCCCTCCCCCTCCACCCGTCTCTCTCCCCTCTCCACCCCACCCCCTCCCCTCCCCCCCTCCCTCCCCCTCTCCCCCCTCTCTCAGTCTTCTAGAGCTGTCTCTGAAGAAGCTAGCCATCAGGTTCGGGAAGTCATGGGACGATCTGGATGACTTCAAACGATGCTTCTGGAAACTCAGGAGCCCCATAGCTGGTATAGTACAGTGGCACAGAAATACACTATGGAATAGAGCATTATGGGTACTGTGGTATGTCATGCTACAGGTACACTACTTGGCCAAAGTATTCAACCCGCCCGCCCTTCAGCCACACAATATTTATGAGTCAACCCGCGCATCACTACAGAGAATGTCACTGCCAATAGAATGCCTATAGGTACTTATCTCAGTGGGAGGCCTTTCCCTCTCTTGTTAGAACAAAAGCAGTATCGGCGATGTGCCGACCCAGTAGTGATGAACCTGCTGTTTCTACTTATACACTACATGGCCAAATTAGTGGATTCTGATATTTTAGCCACACCCGTTGCTGACAGGTGTACAACATCGAGCATACGGCCATGCAATCTCCATAGACAAACATTGGCAGTAGAATGGCCCATACTGAAGAGCTCAGTGACTTTCAACGTGGCACAGTCATTGGATGCCACCTTTCCATCAAGTCAGTTCGTAAAATTTCTGCCCTGCTAGAGTTGCCCCGGTCAACTGTAAGTGCTGTTGTTGTGAAGTGTACAGAAATGGTTTGTCGAGATCGGTGTGCAAGAACTTGACTGGCCTGCACAGAGCCCTGACCTTAACCCCATCAAACACCTTTGGGATGAATTGGAACACCCAACATCAGTGCCCCGACCTCACTAATGCTATTGTGGCTGAATGGAAGCAAGTCCCACTAGCAATGTTCCAACATCTAGTGGAAAACCTTCCCAGAAGAGTGGAGGCTGTTATAGCAGCAAAGGGGGGGATCAACTCCGTATTAACGCCCATGATTTTGGAATGAGATGTTAGACGAGCAGGCGTCCACATACTAGTATATTAACGTTAGAGGTGCTATTGCTCATAGAGTATAGGCCAACACTTTTTATAGCTGTCTCTTCCTGTTTCATTGGGGAAGTGAGGCCTCTTGAGTAATGCAACACCAGTGTGTGTAACTGAGTCAGTATTTAGTATTTTAAATATTTGATTAAACAATTGTTTCTCCTTCAATATATATTCCATTATTAATATTCTCACATTACAGATGTAGGATCTTAATTTGATCACTCTTTTGTTGCTTAGAATTTTTCTGCACAGCAGTAAATGCAAACTTGTAGCGTATTCAAGGTTTAAAAAAGTCTTCTAAAGTTCGGTCTATTCCACTTTAAAATGTCAGACTTGATTTGCCCTAATTAAAAATGTATCAACCCCTACAAAACATTTCCATGAATTATAGTCCACATAATAATTCACATTTCCTGTTGCTGCAGGATTATTTTCCTGCTGTAGCAAACTGGTCAAATGAAGATCCTACATCTGTATGTATAAGCCTTCTCTGTCTTTACCATTATATATTAATGGAGATTGGTATATTAAGAATGGTTTATTCAGACAGTACTTTTTTATTTTGTGATTGATTGATTGATTGATTAATTGATTCTCCCTATGGTTCCAGAGTACTGTATGGAGCACTGGAAGGAAGATTGGTTCTTCGGGTACCAGTGTCTGAACGGTTCAAACCCCAGAATGATCCAGCGCTGCAAGGAGCTTCCGGGAAACTTCCCTGTCTCTGGAGACATGGTGCAGGGTTCGCTGACCCCCAGGACCACCCTGGAGAAGGAACTCAAGGTGGGGCCCCTCTGTCTCTCTGTCTGTGTCCCAAATGGCACCCTATACTAACCCTAACTCTAATCCTAGCTTCATGTCCATATCCTGGTTCAAGCCTTAACCCTAGCCTCAATCCTAACTCTACCCTCAACCCTAACTCTACCCTCAACCCTAACTCTACCCTCAAACCTAACCCTAGCCTCAACCATAACCCTATTCTCAACCCTAACCCTAGCCTCAACCGTAACCCTAGCCTCAACCATAACCCTATTCTCAACCCTAACCCCAACCCTAACCCTAGCCTCAACCATAACCCTAGACTCAACCATAACCCTACCCTCAACCCTAACCCTAGTCTCAACCCTAACCCTAGCCTCAACCGCCTCTACATATTTTCTGCTCTCTCTAGGCGGGTAACATCTACTTGGTAGACTATGCCATCATGGATGGTGTTCCTACCAACGTAATCAGAGGGAAACAACAGTACATCGCTGCTCCTCTCTGTCTGCTGTATGAACACCCAGACCAGGGACTCATACCCATCGCCATACAGGTAGGGCTGGACACACACACACAAACACAAACACACACACACTGAGTATACAAAACATTATAAATAATAATAATATGCCATTTAGCAGACACTTTTATCCAAAGCGACTTACAGTCATGCGTGCATACATTTTTGTGTATGGGTGGTCCCGGGGATCGAACCCACTATCTTGGCGTTACAAGCGCCGTGCTCTACCAGCTGAGCTACAGAGGACCTTTTTGCCCTCAGCACAGACTCAATTCGTTGTGAGCATGCTCCCAACGAGGATAGTAAACCCCTAAACACAGACACGTTATCTTCTCCCTCCTCTTCCCCAGCTAGGGCAGACTCCTGGCTTGGAGTCTCCCATCTTCCTGCCCAAAGACCCGCCCCTGGCCTGGCTATTGGCCAAGATCTGGGTGCGTCACTCAGAGTTCCAGGTGTTCCAGCTCCTGTCCCACCTGTTGAGAACTCACCTGGTGGTGGAGGTGTTCTGTGTGGCTACGCTACGACAGCTACCTGCAGTCCATCCAGTCTATAAGGTAGGGAGCTGTGTGTGTGGGTTGGAGTGGAGTGTGCTGCTGTCTAACCCCTCTCTCCGTCTCTACTGTGGCTCCTGGGGGGTTGGAGTGGTGTGTGCTGCTGTCTAACCCCTCTCTCCGTCTCTACTGTGGCTCCTGGGGGGTTGGAGTGGTGTGTGCTGCTGTCTAACCCCTCTCTCCGTCTCTACTGTGGTCTCTGGGGGGTTGGAGTGGTGTGTGCTGCTGTCTAACCCCTCTCTCCGTCTCTACTGTGGCTCCTGGGGGGTTGGAGTGGTGTGTGCTGCTTGTCCTAACCCCTCTCTCCGTCTCTACTGTGGCTCCTGGGGGGTTGGAGTGGTGTTGTGCTGCTTGTCCTAACCCCTCTCTCCGTCTCTACTGTGGCTCCTGGGGGGTTGGAGTGGTGTGTGCTGCTGTCTAACCCCTCTCTCCGTCTCTACTGTGGCTCCTGGGGGGTTTGGAGTGGTGTGTGCTGCTGTCTAACCCCTCTCTCCGTCTCTACTGTGGCTCCTGGGGGGTTGGAGTGGTGTGTGCTGCTGTCTAACCCCTCTCTCCGTCTCTACTGTGGCTCCTGGGGGGTTGGAGTGGTGTGTGCTGCTGCCTAACCCCTCTCTCCGTCTCTACTGTGGCTCCTGGGGGGTTGGAGTGGAGTGTGCTGCTGCCTAACCCCTCTCTCCGTCTCTACTGTGGCTCCTGGGGGGTTGGAGTGGAGTGTGCTGCTGCCTAACCCCTCTCTCCGTCTCTACTGTGGCTCCTGGGGGGTTGGAGTGGAGTGTGCTGCTGTCTAACCCCTCTCTCCGTCTCTACTGTAGCTCCTGGCTCCTCACCTGCGCTACACTCTGGAGATCAACTGCAGGGGGCGCACTCAGCTCCTCTCAGCCGACGGCATCTTCAAAAGGGTATGTCAGCCTTACCATTCTATTCCTTGTTTACATTTTACCGGACGCTTACAGTAGTGAGTGCATACATTTTCGTACTGGTCCCCCATGGGAATCAAACCCACAACCCTGGAGTTGCAAGCGCCATGCTCTACCAACTGAGCCACACAGGACCCCAGTGTCTTGAGGGCCCAACTGACCCTATATTGTTGTAAATAATAATAATAATAATATGCCATTTAGCAGACGCTTTTATCCAAAGCGACTTACAGTCATTGTATTGATGCAGCAACAAAGAAACAGTTTTTGAATGTGGTCAAAAACATAGAATAGTTTTGGAATAGACAAGAGTATGTAGTTTGTATAATTTATGATGATGAAGTTCTCTTCCTCCAGGTGGTGTCTACAGGAGGGGAAGGCCTTCTGGTCCTAGCCCAGAATGAGTACAAGGTCCTGACCTACCGCTCTCTCCAGCCCTATTGGGACTTCCAACAGCGTGGAGCCACCAAGCTCAGAAAATACTTCTACCGAGAGTACAGCCTGATGCTGTGGGACGCCATACACAGGTATAATACCCATGGTCACTTCTTTATGACCACAGAGACATGGTTTATAAGGTTGCAGTAGGAAAGCAAGGAGGGGACGTGGTCTTCAGGCCTGAAATCTGGATATGTAAAGATACACATCGGGAAAATAAGCTATTTAACTATTTTTCTCTTTTATTTCCTTGAATTAGCCTTTTCCCTTTTATTCTCCCTCTTTATTTCTACCTCACTGTTTGTTTCCCTTTTTCTGATCTCCCTCCCTCTCTCTTTCTCCCCCCCCCCTCCTCAATTCAATTCAATTTCAATTTAAGGGCTTTATTGGCATGGGAAACGTATGTTAACATTGCCAAAGCAAGTGAAGTAGATAATAAACAAAAGCGAAATAAACAATACAAATTAACTGTAAACTTTACCTCTCTCGCTCCCTCCATCCCCCTCCCTCTCTCTCTCACTCTCCCTCCCTCCCCCTCTCTCTCCCTCCCTCCCTCCCCCTCTCTCTCCCTACCTACCTCTCTACCCAGTTTTGTCTCAGGGATTGTGTCATTGTACTACCATAATGACAGGGATGTAACAGAGGATACTGAGCTGCAGGCCTGGATAAAGGACATCGCTGAGGAGGGCTTCGTTGATGTGCCCAAATTTGGTCAGTCATCCACCACTACCCCCACCTCCTCAGACTCAGGACTCAATTCAACCCGTAAGCGTGGAAGATCTGCATTGTAGCGCGGTTGACATTTAAAGGCAACGTTACCGTGTTTGTGGAGACTGCATTCTCGGTAAACGCTGCAATATGTCGCACAATCCGAAATTACCTTTAAATGTCAACCGTGCTGCAACGCAGATCTTCCACGCTACAGATTGACCCTTAGTTGATCATGATGATTTAGTACTGGGTAATACTGACTAATGTTTTCTTCTCTTCCTCAGGTCTGTCCAGGGAACTACACAACAAAACAGAACTGGTCACATTGCTGAGTGTAGCCATCTTCACAAGCTCAGCACAGCATGCAGCCACCAACAATGGACAGGTACTGTACACACAGTCTTGTACAGCTAACCTTGTGGGGACACACAATTCAGTCCCATTCAAAATCATATTTTCCCTAACCCTAAACCTAACCCTAACCTGTACTCTTACCTTAACCCTAACCTTAACGCTAACCCTTACCCTAAACCTAACCCTAGCTCCTAACCCTAAAACTAACCCTAGCTCCTAACCCTAACCCTTAACGTAATTCTAACACTAATTCTAACCTTAACCCTAAACCACCTAGAATTAGCATTTGACCTCGTGGGGACTAACAAAATGTTCCCAGTTGGTAAAATTTTTGTTCATGAACTATTCTTGTGGGGACTTCGGTCCCCACAAGAATAGTTAAACACGTCCACCCCCCCCCCCCCCCCCCCCATTAACTTACTCATCTCTCTCTAACATAGTTTGACTGGTGTGCGTGGGTCCCCAACACCCCGTGTACAATGCGTCACCCTCCCCCGACCGACAAGGACTCTGTTACCATGGAGTTGATCATGGACACCCTCCCAGACGTCAGCCAAACATGTTTGGAGATGGCGATCACATGGCACCTGGGTCGACCACAACCGGACGCAGTAAGTTAAAACAACAGTGGGTCACATTTATAGCATGAAATGGGATGAAACTGAATGCAACGCTCATCTCCCACCTCCTTTCATGTTTGTTTCCCACCTTTGGTTATAAACATAGATGGGTAAACTCTGATCTCCGGGCGCAGTGAAAAAAAAGAACACTCCCTATACTTTCAATTATAAAATAAAACCAGAGAGATTCATATAGCTAAATGTAAATATTTCCAGCTAGGATTCTTCCCTTCTCCATTTTGTCTTTTCTCTCTAGTCTCGGAATTCCCAGACGTAGGGCAACAGCACATTGGTACATCTGTAGATAGGCCCAAACTGACCCTATACGCTCTCTTTCTTTCTCTCCCTCCTTCTCCTCCTCTCTCCCTCCTTCAGGTCCCATTGGGTCAGTACCGGGAGCAGTACTTCACAGAGCCCCAGGCCCAGGAGGTGATTGACAGGTTCAGACAGGAACTGAAGGAGATAGAGGAACACATCCTGACCCAGAACGAGGGACTAGAGCTGCCCTATCTTTTCCTCCTGCCCAGCCGCATCGAGAACAGCATCACTATATAATATACTGAACAAAAATAAAATTGCAACAATTTCAAAGATTTTACTGAGTTACAGTTCATATAAGGAAATCAGTCAATTGAAATAAATTAATTAGGCCCTAATCTATGGATTTCACATGAGTGTGAATACAGATTTGCATTTAGTCACAGATACCTTTTTAAAAAAGTAGGGGCGTGGATCAGAAAACCAGTCAGTATCTGGTGTGACCACCATTTGCCTCATGCAGCGCAACACATCTCCTTCGCATAAGGTTGATCAGGTTCGATTGTGGCCTGTGGAATGTTGTCCCACTCCTTTTCAATGGCTGTGCAAAGTTGCTGGATATTGGCGGGAACTGGAACACTCTGTTGTACATGTTGATCCAGAGCATCCCAAACATGCTAAATCGGTGACATGTCTGGTGAGTATGCAGGCCTGGGCCATTTTCAGCTTCCAGGAATTGTGTAAAGATCCTTGCGACATGGGGCAGTGCATTATGATGCTGAAACATGAGGTGATGGTGGCAGATGAATGGCATGAAAATGGGCCTCAGGATCTCGTCACGGTATCTCTGTGCATTCAAATTGCCATCGATAAAATGCAATTGTGTTGGTTGTCCGTAGCTTATGTCTGCCCATACCATAACCTGTTTACAACGTTGACATCAGCAAACCACTCGCCCACATGACACCATACACGTGGTCTGCGGTTGTGAGGCCGGTTGGACGTACTGCCATTGGAGGAGGATTATGGTAGAGAAATTAACATTAAATTCTCTGGCAACAGCTCTGGTGGACATTCCTGCAGTCAGCATGCCAATTTTACACTCCCTCAAAACTTGAGACATTTGTGGCATTGTGTTTTAGTGGCCTTTTATTGTCCCCAGCACAAGGTGCACCTGTTTAATGATCATGCTGTTTAATCAGCTTCTTGATATGCCACACCTGTCAGGTGGATGGATTATCTTGGCAAAGGAGAAATGGTCACTAACAGGGATGTAAACAAAAAAATGTGTGCGCATGGAACATTTCTGGGATCTTTTACTTCAGCTCATGAAACATGGGACTAACACTTTACATGTTGCGTTTATATTTTTGTTCTGTATAATAACATAGAACCAAAAGTTTACCTAGACTTGGAAGAGTTCTAATGTTGGATCGCCATAGCCACCTAGCTAACATAGCATCCCTCTCTGTTTGAGCCGGGTGTTTGAGTAGGCTAAACTAGCTAACTGCATTCACTAACTAAGTAAGTGAAAGTTAAGAAAATAAATACTACAAAATATAGCTCTCTCTCTCGCTCACTTGCTTCTCCTTCATTTAATTAATTTGCTCAAAACTGTTCAACTATTGTCTACTCACCACATTTTAAGCACTGCAGTGCTAGCTAGCTTATGCTTTCAGTACTAGATTCATTCTCTGATCCTTTGATTGGATGGACAACATGTCAGTTCATGCTGCAAGAGCTCTGATAGGTTGGAGGACGTTGTCCGGAAGTTGTCATAATTACTGCGTAAGTCTATGGAAGGGGGTGAGAACCACGAGTCTCCTAGGTTTTGTATTGAAGTAAATTTACCCTGAGGAGGAGGGAAGCTAGCTGTCCTCTGGCTACACCATGGTGCTACCCTAGACAGAGTGCTGCTGAGGCTACTGTAGACCTTTATTGCAAAACAGTGTGTTGTAATCAACTATTTATATTTTTCTGAAATTCACTGATGAGGATGGTTCTCCCCTTCCTCCTCTGAGGAGCCTTCACTGATACATACAGTGTAATAACATAGCCCATATATACATACTATATAGATTAAAACCAGGGATTGGAGCTGCTTTACCCAGCCGCATCGAGAACAGCATCACTGTAGAGCAGGGTTTCCCAAACTCGGTCCTACGGCCCCCCGTGTGCACGTTTTGGTTTATGCCCTTGGACTACACAGCTGATTCAAATAGTCGAAGCTTGAGGAGTTGCTTATTTGAATCAGCTGTGTAGCGCTAGGGCAAAAACAAAAACGTGCACCCAGGGAGGGCACCAGGACCGAGTTTGGGAAACCCTGCTATAGAGAACACAATCACTTGACGTATTGGGTCTTATCACCATGACCACAACAATGGACAATGGGTAACATCCCATTCCCAACAGTCTAAAGTGCCTTACCTCTTCCTACTGCCCAGCTGTATAGAGAAGAGCATGTAGACCTCTATGTGTAGTCTTATCCTCTCTTTTGACTTCAATGTGTGGGGCTCAAACAACACTGGTCGATACAAGGAGATATACTGTGATTATTACCTGTACCATTAATAATAATGTAATAAGATAATGTTCTGTAACTATGCTAATACACTTGGGTGATTTTCTTACCATGTTACTGTCTATCTAGGGACGGGCACTGTAAATTAGTGCAAGCTAACGTGTTATGGTGAAATGCATCGTAAATTGCTATGTGTCAATGTTATTGCATCTGTCCCTACTCAAATAAACTTTATTTTTAAACTACTCAACAATCAGGATTTATTACATGACAAACGTCAAAACGTTTTGAGATTTCCAAAACAAAGATCTGACTGTGAACAGTCCATGAGAAGGCAGAAAAAAACCAGCTTCTGTCCAATAAGGCACTAGATTAGAATAGAACATTCTGAGAAGCACTAGAACACACAAAGAACAGCTTCTGTCGCATAATAAAGGCACACTAGATTAGGAGAAAGTTCTAAAAACACACAGATCAAACTTCTGTGCAGCTTCTAAACAAGTTAAGGCTTCAAACAAATACAACTATCATTTGAGAAATTTCGAGAGATTTTTTACCTGAGGGGAAGACGGGCACAGTGAACTAACATAAAGCAGTTATTATTCCGAGTTCTGAAGACGCTAGCTAGGAAATAATAGAACTCTGGTGATTTGATTTCAGCAGATAAATAATAGCAAGGTGTTAGTGATTAACAAATATATTGATCATACACATACAGAGGCTGAATCCCAATTCTCCACACTTCTTCCAAAATGTGCACTTGTATACTCCCGCCCATGGATTTAAGAGTGCTGGAAACTCCCTCTAGCCAATTCATACATCAATCCCATGGTTTTAAATCCATGATGGCGACTGTACAAGTGCACACTTTGGGATAAGTGTGGAGAATCAGGACACAGACAGACAATAACAATGCTATCATCAGGGTTTGGGTCAATTCCATTTCAATTCCAGTCAATTCAGAAAGTAAACCAAATTCCAATCCAACATTTTCCTCATTGGAATTGGAATTTCAGGGTACTTCCTGAATTGTCTGGAATCGGCCCCAACCCTGGCTACCATTCATTCAGATTTAAAACAGAACATTTACGGAAAAAGCCACTCTTCTCCAGACAGTGTCAGGCGGTGGTGCTGCAGCCTGCAGTACCATGACCAGTCCAGCAGATGGTGTTAGTGCTGCAGTACCATGGCCAGTCCAGTAGGTGGTGCTAGCGCACCATGTACTCCTTGCGATGGTTGAGTTTAATCTGGCAGAAGGAGAGAGCGGCAACCAGCACGTAGATACCCGCTGCAATGAAACAGTTGTATCCAACCTGGTTATAGAGGTTGTAGATGTTGTGGGGAGGGTTTTGACTGTAATAGAGAGTGGGAGAAAGAGAGGGGGACAGAGGTCAAGGGGTGACAAAGAGTGGGAAGGGGACATGTGACACAAATTGGAAAAACGAAGACACTAAAAACGCTGGAGATGCACTGTTGAAGCCCTCTGCTCCACAAGGAGCTTAAAGTAATAAATCAAGGCAAGTAAGTCAAAACACTTAAAGGAAAATTCCACTCAAAAACGATATTTTGGTATTTGTTGTCCACTGTTGATACAGTCCCAAAATGTTTTGCATGTCAGCAGTCAAGTTTTTGAGATATTGAACTATCAAGAAGCAAAGTGTATCTTGCCCCATCAAATCAAATTTTATTGGCCACATGCGCCGAATACAACAGGTGTAGACATTACAGTGAAATGCTTACTTACAGCCCTTAAACAACAATGCATTTATTTTTTAAATAAAAAAGTAAAATAAAACAACAAAACAGTGTTGAGAAAAAAAAGAGCAGAAGTAAAATTAAATAACAGTAGGGAGGCTATATATACAGGGGGGTACCGGTGCAGAGTCAATGTGCGGGGGCACCGGCTAGTTGAGGTAGTTGAAGTAATATGTACATGTGGGTAGAGTTAAAGTGACAATGCATAAATAATTAACAGCGTAGCAGCAGCGTAAAAAGATGGGGTGGGGGTGGGGGGCAGTGCAAATAGTCTGGGTAGCCATGATTAGCTGTTCAGGAGTCTTATGGCTTGGGGGTAGAAGCTGTTGAGAAGTCTTTTGGACCTAGACTTGGCACTCCAGTACCGCTTGCCATGCGGTAGCAGAGAGAACAGTCTGACTAGGGTGGCTGGAGTCTTTGACCATTTTGAGGGCCTTCCTCTGACACCGCCTGGTATAGAGGTCCTGGATGGCAGGAAGCTTGGCCCCAGTGATGTATTGGGCCGTACGCACTACCCTCTGTAGTGCCTTGCGGTCGGAGGCTGAGCAGTTGCCATACCAGGCGGTGATGCAACTAGTCAGGATGCTCTCGATGGTGCAGCTGTATAATTTTTTGAGGATCTGAGGACCCATGCCAAATCTTTTCAGTCTCCTGAGCGGGAATAGGCTTTGTCGTGCCCTCTTCACGACTGTCTTGGTGTGTTTGGACCATGATAGTTTGTTGGTGATGTGGACACCAAGGAACTTGAAGCTCTCAACCTGTTCCACTACAGCCCCGTCGATGAGAATGGGGGCGTGCTCAGTCCTCTTTTTTTTCCTGTAGTCCACAATCATTTCCTTTGTCTTGGTCACGTTGATGGAGAGGTTGTTATCCTGGCACCACACGGCCAGGTCTCTGACCTCCTCCCTATAGGCTGTCTCATCGTTGTCGGTGATCAGGTCTACCACTGTTGTGTCGTCGGCAAACTTAATGATGGTGTTGGAATCGTGCCTGGCCATACAGTCATGGGTGAACAGGGAGTACAGGAGGGGACTGAGCACGCACCCCTGAGGGGCCCCCGTGTTGAGGATCAGTGTGGCAGATGTATTGTTACCTACCCTTACCACCTGGGGGCGGCCCGTCAGTAAGTCCAGGATTCAGTTGCAGAGGGAGGTGTTCAGTCCCAGGATCCTTAGCTTAGTGATGAGCTTTGAGGGCACTATGGTGTTGAATGCTGAGCTGTAGTCAATGAATAGCATTCTCACGTAGGTGTTTCTCTTGTCCAGGTGGGAAAGGGCAGTGTGGAGTGCAATAGAGATTGCATCATCTGTGGATCTGTTGGGGCGGTATGCAAATTGGAGTGGGTCTAGGGTTTCTGGGATAATGGTGTTGATGTGAGCCATGACCAGCCTTTCAAAGCACTTCATGGCTACAGACGTCAGTGTTATGGGTCGGTAGTCATTTAGGCAGGTTATCTTAGTGTCCTTGGGCACGGGGACTATGGTGGTCTGCTTGAAACATGTTGGTATTACAGACTCAGTTAGGGACATGTTGAAAATGTCAGTGAAGACACTTGCCAGTTGGTCAGCACATGCTCGGAGTACACATCCTGGTAATCCGTCTGGCCCTGCGGCCTTGTGAATGTTGACCTGCTTAAAAGTCTTACTCACATTGGCTACGGAGAGCGTGATCACATAGTCATCCGGAACAGCTGGTGCTCTCATGATTGCTGCAATACGCATCGCTGTGGCAAGTGACACTTCTTGAAAATAGTACATCTTGAAAACTTGACCGCTGACATTCAAAACATTTTGGCACTGTATCAACAGTGGACTAATAAAAAATACAAATAAAAACAAGATACTTTGAGTGGTATTTTCCTTTAAAAGAAACGACAGCATCCGGCCTCCTATGGTCAGTTTTGAGTTTCCTCCCCTAATCAATAAGGATAGGATTGAGGGAGAGAAAGCTGACCCCGAACCATCCTGTATATACACACTACTCTACTGTGTATCCTCCCCTATGTTACATTAGTGCCACGTTTGTGTGTCTCCTGAGTGTGTGACATTTCTGAAGCTATTCTTCCACTGTGAGTCACGTGTCCAGAGACTGACTGTGTATGCGTGTGTGTGTGGACTCACTCGTTGTGCATGTCTTCCTCTTTGAAAGGCACATCCTCTATCAGCACTGCAGAGTGGGTGGTGAAGAAAATACCCAACATTGCCTAAAGAGCAAGAGAGAGAGAGAGAGAGAGAGATGGGGTGAGAGAATGTGATTATTGGTAGGTAGCAAATGACTTAGTAGTAGTATGGCTTCCTTTGCTTGTATCAGCAGTGCAGTGCATAATACTCCAACGAATATGAATGTCATAAGAGGAACTTCTCAAACCTAAAGAGTTTATTTGACTACAAGAAACATAGTCAGTGGCTGTAGGAGAAGACTACAACAAACACCATCAGTCCCTGTCTGTCTATGTCTTAATGAGGCACCCCAAGAGATAGCTAGCTATACAATTCAGCTGTAATAAATTAGCTAGTAATGTTTCTGGGCTGGGGATCACACATTGGCATATGCGATGCAAAAAAACAACAACATTACCATACTCTCTTGGTTGTCTTATCAATAACCTATTATTTTAACAAGCACTGTACACATACAATGTACACATACTGATAATAAGCAACTAAAACCACTTTACTTCAAGTTACAAGTTATATTACCAGCATTATGACTCCCCAGATGCTGATGACAATACCGCAGGCGGCCAACTTGGGACCGCAAAATAAACACGAAACCATCGTTTAACAACTCAAATAACGACGTAAACTCAAAAAGACACTTATCACTACGGTAACTCTCGTAGTTCCCAACTTAAATAGCAGAAAGAAGTCACTTGGGCAGCCGTTTGTCGTCTAACCAGTTGTTCTCAGGACCTCGAGCTCAGTGTGTCAGGTGACTTATGGAAACAGGAAAAAGGGAGATGTTCAAGAATCAAAAACGTTGCTAAATTTGACACCGATGATGTATATGGAAATATATGTATTTAACTAAGCATATTTTTTACAAGGAACAAATCAGTTCCACTTATTATTATTTTCCCGATGAGAAAACTACACAAACAGTTCCAGCGATATGGCCAAATGCTGAGGGTGTGTCCGTAAAGTCACTCTGGAGTCCCTGAATGCGCTCAGAGTGCACATGGACGCTCTGGCCGAGGAGTAGGGTTGATCCGAGCGTTCTGACCTCACAAAGGAAGTCAGGCACCCAAGCTTACTGGCTAACGTTGGCTAACTACTTCCAGACACAAATGAGAGAACACCTCACTCCATTTTACTCGCCCTAGCAGAGCTGGTTAGGCTGTTTTCATGTTATCTAGAGTGTCGGTGACTGTAACTGTGCTGCTGGCAACAATTTAATAACGGTTGTTTTTTTGATGCCAACGTTGTCATATTCAACAGGTTCATAAATTCCTCAGTTATTCTGCCCTCTGGCAGACAGACGAGAGTGCTCTGAAATCGGAGAAGATAGCCAGAGTGAATTTACGAACGCACCCTTAATAACTGCGTTGAAATGTAGCTATAACGTTTTTGAAACCACAATTAATGTTAATATGTTGTCACTGTTATACGATAACATGACATTCCAATATTTATTTTTCTTTATTCGCTACAATGTTTAAAAGGGGGATACAGAAAATTGAAACATAGTTATGAATTTGGACCAATCGTGAATACATGGAGGGAATTTTGGACCAATCATCGCTTGGAATTTACCAGCGCACGTTAGGACTTCCGTTTGTCTATTGATGTCGTTTGTGTGTGTTATTTATTTAATTGTATGTACAAATTGCTGATTATTGCACACAAAACACACGGACTCTGTTACTGAAATGTAACGAGTCACTGAAACCATTAGCATATTGCAGACACGAATATCAATATTGTAGGACGCGTCGCGGACGAAGTTGTCCTTTGTTTTGCCAGCCTGCAGTGCAAGCAAGCTAGCTAAACTAGCTAGCTACGTTAGTTAGCATCTCTAAACAGTGTTCTTTCTTGGAAAATCTGAATCAGATCAGCAACTTCAAAAAGCAAAATGACTTCAGCCTCAACGAAGGTAGGTTGGTTTTAGCCCTATTTATATATATTTGTTATTTAGCAAGATACTGCAAAAACATCTAGCTAATGTTCAAAATAGCAAGCTAATTTGAATTGGTACCTGTGTAAAACATCAGCTAGAATTATTCCAAAGATAAATATGTATTTTACTGTCTTTGCTATACCAAGGAAACTCTTTTGAAAATACATTATTCGTTTTATGACAAGTCAAGCACCAAGGACGTGGCTGAATGAAAGTTTTGGCAAAGTTGGCATGTATGCACTTCTTTCTCACGTCCATGTCCTTTGTGTGTATATAAGCCACCACATGGTGGCGCTGTCTGCACGGTGCAGAAACCCCTCATCAATTATCTCCTCTTAGAATAAACATGAATTCTGCATTAGAGCCGTACAAAATACAAAACAAGTAAAAGATGGACAAGTCCTGTATTGATATAATATGCCATCAGGTTTTGCCTTGCAGTTGTCATACAGTCGTTCATACATACCAGGGTTGGGTTCAAGGCCAGTCAATTCAGATAGTAAACCAAATTCCAATTCAAAAATGTTCCTCATTCAAAATCATTGAAGAGAATTGACCCCAACCCTGACACATGGTGTACTGTACTCCAAACAACCTCAGCTACTGCCTCAAAATAAAAGAGGAAATAGGATCATTCAAAAGGTATTTGTGTTTTTAAGTTATTTTCTGGGTTCATGTCTCAGGTTGGAGAGATCTTCTCAGCAGCAGGAGCAGCTTTCACCAAGCTGGGTGAGCTCACCATGCAGCTGCACCCCGTCTCTGACTCCAGCCCTGCAGGGTGAGGGCAACACATACACACACACACACTAGGGTTGGGCCGAGATACATGATTAAACCAAATATTGTGATGTTTGACATTGAGGATATATTGTGAAGTGCAAGACTATTTGAACTTTACAATTCAAAACTGTGCAGTTTTATCAGTTAGGCTTTAGGATTATGTTGAAAATGAAGTCTAAATGAATTAAGTCATATTTTTTCGCCATACGAAGATCATTTATTGAGAATACGACTATAATATCATAATAAACACAAAAATTGCACAGTCCGTAATAATTTAGTCATTAGCAGCGCAAAATGATTATATTGGATATTTGGAGTAGCGTATCGTAGAAGAGGTGTCCCCAAATATCGCCCAACCCTAACACACACACACACCAAGTTGCATGTAGATAAAGAACTGTATCGATTGGCCTATGTAGAGTTCTAAGTCTAGTCAACATTAGAAGTCTGTCTATCTACTGACCACGACTTGGTCATTTTTGGGCTTGTGTCACTGGTAGTACACTCTCTGATTCATTAGCTGTGCTCTGTGGAATATCCCTGCCAAGAAAAACACTCAGCGGAAACACTGCTGCGTCATTACCACGAAGCACACAACACCCACCCACGCCACGTCCACCCTTTCTCAGTCACTGGGTGGTGGAGGTGATCCTCTCAGTCTGAGGGGTTCTGAACGACGATGAGGAAATAGAGCATCAATTGCTGATCACCGACAGTGTAACCGGTGTGAAATGGCTAGCTTTTTAGCGGTGACGTCACTCGCTTTGAGACCTTGAAGTAGTTGTTTCCCTTAGGTAACCATGCTTCGTGGGTGACTGATGTCGATGTGTTCAAGGTTGGGGCAAAGTGAGGAATGGAAGCAACACTGTTACATGAGCATAATGACTGATCTACAAATCATAATGGGTAGTTATTTAGGATGCAAGGTGATTTGTAGGTAAGGGATTCTGCAATCTGTGCAGTCCATCTGCAATGTAGCCTGGTGGATCTGAAACACGCCCTGTGTGTCGTTGCAGAGCTAAATGGACGGACACTGAGATTGAGCAGCTGAGATCGGCCGTGGTGAGATTTGGTGATGACCTGAACTCTCTCAGCTCTGTCATCAAGGAGCGCACCGTGTAAGGACACACTCTCCCTCTTCTTAGAATATTCTCCTTTCTCTCCCTCTTTTCATTCCTAGTGGCCTCTATCAAGTTGTATATGTCCCATGCACAAGTACAGTGAAATGCTTAACTTGCAAGCTCTAGCCAACAGTGCAGTAATATCAAAGTAGTATAACAAATAATACAACAAAATATATCTAATAAAGAAACATCCCTCTTCATATATCATTTATTATCTTTCTCCTTCACCCGGTCTCACTGTCTTACCCCTTGTGTCTTTCTCTCATTGAACACTTCACGTCTGAGTGGTGTCCAGTCAGATAGATATTTTAAGGTAGCTAGCTCTAAAGCAATAGGAAGATGGTCTATCAGTGACACAAGCCCTGATGAGCTAAAACCATCACTAGATCTAAAATATCACATTCCCATTTTTTATACCCACACATCCATTGTACTGTCTGTCTACTAGTGCTAAAGATCTGTATCAAATCATGAGGGTTTACCTTTTTAAAGTATTTGATGACAGGTTACTGGTTGAATCCCCACCACCACCGCTAACCTCCCACCTCGTCTCTCCTTCTCAGGGCTCAGATTAAAACTACAGTCAAGAGGAAGCTTTATGACGAGAGTGGAATGCCCATCTCCACCGACTCCCCAAAGAAGACAGTGAAGAAGACCGCTGTCACCACGGCTACCACAACTGTCATCGCTGTGCCAACTGCTCAGGTCGTCGTGCCGGCAGGTCTCCAGGGCAACGTGACCGTGGCTCCTCCCGCTATGAAGAAACAGAAGACCTCAGGTGAGTGGAGATGGATGGATGGAAGAAGGAATCATTTAATCAATCAGCTTTGTAGTCATGTCCATCTTGGCAATGCTTTTTATTCACACTCCTTTCTTCACAGACACACTGAAATACATTTTAGGGCACATAATGAAGACATGAAGTGTGGGAACCTCCATTATTGACATATTATCAAAGTGTAATACTGATGTATTGTTTTTCAATGTGTGGGGGAAAAAGTCCATGCAGATCAAATTAAATCGTTTCAACTGAAAATATTTAGTTTTCTTGTCCATATCATATTTCAAACAAAGATTTTTGCATTTTTACATTTAGCTAACCATCCCATCCTCTCTTCTTGCCTATGTGTTATAACGTGTTCCAGCAGACGTGACCCTGAGTGCTCTGAATGACTCTGATGTGAACTCTGACCTGGTGGACATAGAGGGACTGGGAGAGGGATCCAACTCCAAGAAACTCAACTTCGATCAGGGTGAGAGAGACAACGGCCTTCTTTACTACTATTCACTACTACTGATCGTGGTAATGCACAGCCTTTGCTATTGACTGATTGTGGGGAACCCAATAATTAGGCTACTGTTCATCAATACCAATCTATTACTGTATCAGAAAACTGTAGGGCAATTCCACGGAAAGGAATTTTGCAGAGTCAAAAAACATTGATTTCAACGTTTAACAAACCATACAACTCTACGCACAACGACTGAACATTTTACAAAAACACATTTACTGAAAGAACTGTGCAGATGCAAAGTTTGGTAACAGAATTTCGGTAAAATCTCCCTCTTTATGCGACCACATTTTCCAAAAATTCGTAAATATCTGCTCCGAATTAAGATTCAATGATGTCTGCAGAAATAATGGGGCGTCAGCGATGACATGAGACATTGACTTTGAAAAAGTCTCTTTTAGTTATAGAAATACAGTAAGTGAAGTGGATTTACACCCTGTAATGGAATTGTGGTAACGGAATTTCATCATGGTTCTCTGATCTGTACTACACAGAAATGCATAATTATGGATATGAATGTCATTGTTTTCATTGTGATGTATCCTAAATAGGTATACAAAGATATAAATATGCAATATCCTCCTTTGCATATCTGGGTATTATTCTACACACTGGCTATTATTTGAATGAGCAAACAAGACCAAATTTGGTTGGTCCGGACCAAATCTGAACCAATCATAGATGTCAATGTTTCACAAGTTTGGACATCAAAGTACAGCACAGTAGAGCTCAGTAGAGTTCAGCACAGTAGAGCTCAGTAGAGTTCAGCACAGTAGAGCTCAGTAGACTTCAGCACAGTAGAGCTCAGCACAGTAGAGTTCAGTAGAGCTCAGCACAGTAGAGTTCAGTAGAGCTCAGCACAGTAGAGCTCAGCACAGTTCAGCACAGTAGAGTTCAGCACAGTAGAGTTCAGCACAGTAGAGCTCAGCACAGTAGAGTTCAGCACAGTAGAGCTCAGTAGAGTTCAGCACAGTAGAGTTCAGCACAGTAGAGTTCAGCACAGTAGAGCTCAGTAGAGCTCAGTAGAGTTCAGCACAGTGGAGCTCAGTAGAGTTCAATAGTGTTCAGCACAGTAGAGCTCAGCAGAGTAGAGTTCACACACAGGAGAGTTCAGCACAGTTCAGCACAGTCGAGTTCAGTACAGTAGAGTTTAGTACAGTAGAGCACAGTATAATTCAGTAGAGTTCAACACAGTAGAGCTCAGTAGAGTTTAGTACAGTAGAGTTCAGTAGAGCTCAGCACAGTAGAGCTCAGCACAGTAGAGCTCAGTAGAGCTCAGCACAGTAGAGCTCAGCAGAGTAGAGCTCAGCAGAGTAGAGCTCAGTAGAGTTTAGCACAGTAGAGCTCAGTAGAGTTTAGCACAGTAGAGCTCAGTAGAGTTCAGCACAATAGAGCTCAGTAGAGTTCAGCACAATAGAGCTCAGTAGAGTTTAGTACAGTTTAGTACACTAGAGTTCAGCACAGTAGAGTTCAGCACAGTAGAGTTCAGCTCAGTAGAGTTCAGTAGAGCTCAGCACAGTAGAGTTCAGTAGAGCTCAGCACAGTAGAGTTCAGTAGAGCTCAGCACAGTAGAGTTCAGTAGAGCTCAGCACAGTAGAGTTCAGTAGAGCTCAGCACAGTAGAGTTCAGTAGAGCTCAGCACAGTAGAGTTCAGTAGAGCTCAGCACAGTAGAGCTCAGTAGTGTAGTACAGGAGAGCACAGTAGAGCTCAGTAGAGTTCAGCACAGTAGAGTTCAGCACAGTAGAGTTCAGCACAGTAGAGCTCAGTAGAGTTCAGCACAGTAGAGCTCAGTAGAGTTCAGCACAGTGGAGCTCAGTAGAGTTCAATAGTGTTCAGCACAGTAGAGCTCAGCAGAGTAGAGTTCACACACAGGAGAGTTCAACACAGTAGAGCTCAGTAGAGTTTAGTACAGTAGAGTTTAGTACAGTAGAGCTCAGTAGAGTTCAGTAGAGCTCAGCACAGTAGAGCTCAGCACAGTAGAGTTCAGCACAGTAGAGTTCAGTAGAGCTCAGCACAGTAGAGATCAGTAGTGTAGTACAGTAGAGCAGAGTTCAGCACAGTAGAGTTTAGTACAGTAGAGTTCAGTAGAGTTTAGTACAGTAGAGTTCAGTAGAGCTCAGCACAGTAGAGTTCAGTAGTGTAGTACAGTAGAGCAGAGTTCAGCACAGTAGAGTTCAGTAGAGCTCAGCACAGTAGAGTTCAGTAGAGCTCAGCACAGTAGAGTTCAGTAGAGCTCAGCACAGTAGAGTTCAGTAGAGCTCAGCACAGTAGAGTTCAGTAGAGCTCAGCACAGTAGAGCTCTACAGAGTTCAGCACAGTAGAGTTTAGCACAGTAGAGCTCAGAGTTCAGCACAGTAGAGCTCAGTAGAGTTCAGCACAGTAGAGCTCAGTAGACTTCAGCACAGTAGAGCTCAGTAGACTTCAGCAGAGCTCAGCACAGTAGAGCTCAGCACAGTAGAGTTCAGTAGAGCTCAGCACAGTAGAGTTCAGTAGAGCTCAGCACAGTAGAGCTCAGTAGAGTACAGCACAGTAGAGCTCAGCACAGTAGAGCTCAGCACAGTAGAGCTCAGTAGAGTTCAGCACAGTAGAGCTCAGTAGAGTTCAGCACAGTAGAGCTCAGTAGAGTTCAGCACAGTAGAGCTCAGTAGAGTTCAATAGTGTTCAGCACAGTAAAGCTCAGCAGAGTAGAGTTCACACACAGGAGAGTTCAGCACAGTAGAGCTCAGTAGACTTCAGCACAGTAGAGCTCAGTAGACTTCAGCACAGTAGAGCTCAGCACAGTAGAGTTCAGTAGAGCTCAGCACAGTATAATTCAGTAGAGTTTAGTACAGTAGAGCACAGTAGAGCTCAGCACAGTAGAGCTCAGCAGAGTTCAGCACAGTAGAGCTCAGCAGAGTAGAGTTCACACACAGGACAGTTCAGCACAGTCGAGTTCAGTACAGTAGAGTTTAGTACAGTAGAGCACAGTATAATTCAGTAGAGTTCAACACAGTAGAGCTCAGTAGAGTTTAGTACAGTAGAGCTCAGCACAGAGCTCAGTAGAGTTCAGCAAAGTAGAGCTCAGCAGAGTAGAGCTCAGCAGAGTAGAGCTCAGTAGAGTTTAGCACAGTAGAGCTCAGTAGAGTTTAGCACAGTAGAGCTCAGTAGAGTTTAGTACAGTAGAGTTCAGTAGAGTTTAGCACAGTAGAGCTCAGCACAGTAGAGCACAGTAGAGCTCAGCACAGTAGAGCTCAGTAGAGTTCAGCACAGTAGAGCTCAGTAGAGTTCAGCACAGTAGAGCTCAGTAGAGTTTAGTACAGTAGAGTTTAGTACAGTTTAGTACACTAGAGTTCAGTAGAGCTCAGCACAGTAGAGTTCAGCTCAGTAGAGTTCAGTAGAGTTTAGTACAGTAGAGTTCAGTAGAGTTCAGTAGAGCTCAGCACAGTAGAGTTCAGTAGAGCTCAGCACAGTAGAGTTCAGTAGAGCTCAGCACAGTAGAGTTCAGTAGAGCTCAGCACAGTAGAGTTCAGTAGAGCTCAGCACAGTAGAGTTCAGTAGTGTAGTACAGTAGAGCACAGTAAAGTTCAGCACAGTAGAGTTTAGCACAGTAGAGCTCAGTAGAGTTCAGCACAGTAGAGTTCAGCACAGTAGAGCACAGCACAGTAGAGCTCAGTAGAGTTCAATAGTGTTCAGCACAGTAGAGCTCAGCAGAGTAGAGTTCACACACAGGAGAGTTCAGCACAGTTCAGCACAGTCGAGTTCAGTACAGTAGAGTTTAGTACAGTAGAGCACAGTATAATTCAGTAGAGTTCAACACAGTAGAGCTCAGTAGAGTTTAGTACAGTAGAGTTCAGCACAGTAGAGTTCAGTAGAGCTCAGCACAGTAGAGTTCAGTAGTGTAGTACAGTAGAGCAGAGTTCAGCACAGTAGAGTTTAGTACAGTAGAGTTCAGTAGAGTTTAGTACAGTAGAGTTCAGTAGAGCTCAGCACAGTAGAGTTCAGTAGAGCTCAGCACAGTAGAGTTCAGTAGAGCTCAGCACAGTAGAGTTCAGTAGTGTAGTACAGTAGAGCACAGTAGAGTTCAGCACAATAGAGCTCAGGAGTTCAGCACAGGAGAGCTCAACACAGTAGAGTTCAGTACATTAGTGTACACAACTCAAGTGTGCTCAACTCTACTGAACTATACTGTACTTTTCTTTACTGTCCCAACTGTAGTTTGTGGCTACTATGATTTCCCATTGTAGCTAATTCAATTGCAGAAATTCCGTTACCAATTTGGTAATGGAATTTCAAGTTTTAATCACTTAATACATAAACAAAATTAATATCAGCGAAAACACGAACTACAGTGAGGGAAAAAAGTATTTGATCCCCTGCTGATTTTGTACGTTTGCCCACTGACAAAGAAATGATCAGTCTATAATTTTAATGGTAGGTTTATTTGAACAGTGAGAGACAGAATAACAACAAAACAATCCAGAAAAACGCATGTCAAAAATGTTATAAATTGATTTGCATTTTCAGGAGGGATATAAGTATTTGACCCCTCAGCAAAACGTGACTTAGTACTTGGTGGCAAAACCCTTGTTGGCAATCACAGAGGTCAGATGTTTCTTGTAGTTGGCCACCAGGTTTGCACACATCTCAGGAGGGATTTTGTTCCACTCCTCTTTGCAGATCTTCTCCAAGTCATTAAGGTTCCGAGGCTGACGTTTGGCAACTCGAACCTTCAGCTCCCTCCACAGATTTTCTATGGGATTAAGGTCTGGAGACTGGCTAGGCCACTCCAGGACCTTAATATGCTTCTTCTTGAGCCACTCCTTTGTTGCCTTGGCAGTGTGTTTTGGGTCATTGTCATGCTGGAATACCCATCCACAACCCATTTCCAATGCCCTGGCTGAGGGAAGGAGGTTCTCACCCAAGATTTGACGGTACATGGCCCCGTCCATCGTCCCTTTGATGCGGTGAAGTTGTCCTGTCCCCTTAGCAGAAAAACACACCCAAAGCATAATGTTTCCACCTCCATGTTTGACGGTGGGGATGGTGTTCTTGGGGTCATAGGCAGCATTCCTCCTCCTCCAAACACGGCGAGTTGAGTTGATGCCAAAGAGCTCCATTTTGGTCTCATCTGACCACAACACTTTCACCCAGTTCTCCTCTAAATCATTCAGATGTTCATTGGCAAACTTCAGACAGGCATGTATATGTGCTTTCTTGAGCAGGGGGACCTTGCGGGCGCTGCAGGATTTCAGTCCTTCACGGCGTAGTGTGTTACCAATTGTTTTCTTGGTGACTATGGTCCCAGCTGCCTTGAGATCATTGACAAGATCCTCCCGTGTAGTTCTGGGCTGATTCCTCACCGTTCTCATGATCATTGCAACTTCACGAGGTGAGATCTTGCATGGAGCCCCAGGCCGAGGGAGATTGACAGTTCTTTTGTGTTTCTTCCATTTGCGAATAATCGCACCAACTGTTGTCACCTTCTCACCAAGCTGCTTGGCGATGGTCTTGTAGCCCATTCCAGCCTTGTGTAGGTCTACAATCTTGTCCCTGACATCCTTGGAGAGCTCTTTGGTCTTGGCCATGGTGGAGAGTTTGGATTCTGATTGATTGATTGCTTCTGTGGACAGGTGTCTTTTATACAGGTAACAAACTGACATTAGGAGCACTCCCTTTAAGAGTGTGCTCCTAATCTCAGCTCGTTACCTGTATAAAAGACACCTGGGAGCCAGAAAAAATCCTGATTGAGAGGGGGTCAAATACTTATTTCTCTCATTAAAATGCAAATCAATTTATAACATTTTTGACATGCGTTTTTCTGGATTTTTTTGTTGTAATTCTGTCTCTCACTGTTCAAATAAACCTACCATTAAAATTATAGACTGATCATTTCTTTGTCAGTGGGCAAACGTACAAAATCTGCAGGGGATCAAATACTTTTTTCCCTCACTGTAATTGATAGGTCTACCCTTTCTTGTTACTTATGTGAACTTTCATTTAAAAAAATACGGGCATAAAGATATACTGAACAAAAATATAAACGCAACATGCAACAATTAACGATTTTACTGAGTTACAGTTCATATAAGGAAATCAGTCAATTAAAATTAAATTTGTTAGGCCCTAATCTATGGATATCTCATGACTGGGCAGGGGCGCAGCCATGGGAGGGCATAGGCCCACCCACTTGGGAGTCAGGCCCAGCCAATCAGAATGAGTTTTTCCCCACAAAAGGGCATTATTACAGAAATAAATACTCCTCAGTTTCATCTGCTGTCCCAGTGGCTGGTCTCAGACAAACCCGCAGGTGAAGAAGCTGGATGTGGAGGTCTTGGGCTGGCATGGCTACACATGGTCTGCGGTTGTGAGGCCGGTTGGACATACTGCCAAATTCTCTAAAATGACATTGGAGGCGGTTTATTGTAGAGAAATAAACATTACATTATCTGGCAACAGCTCTAGTGGACATTCCTGCAGTCAACATGCCAATTGCAGGCTCCCTCAAAACTTGAGACATCTGTGGCATTGTGTTGTGTGACAAAACTGCACATTTTAATGGCCTTTTGTCCCCAGCACAAGGTGCACCTGTGTAATGATCATGCTGTTTAATCAGCTTCTTGATATGCCACACCTGTCAGGTGGATGGATTATCTTGGCAAAGGAGAAATGTTCACTAACAGGGATGTAAACAAATTTGTGCACAAAATTTGAGATAAATAAGCTTTTTGTGTGTATGGAACATTTCTGGGATCTTTTATTTCAGCTCATGAAAACGTATATATTTTTGTTCAGTGTATATGGGTTTTTGGTAATGGAATTTCAAGGCAATGTTTCTTAAACTTACAGAAGGCAGAACATTTTCTCAAATGAAATGTGTTGATATTAGTTGCAGGGGTCTTTACTTCAACATTGTGTTTTGATGTATTTCTAAGACTTTTTCTGGTAGATGTTTAAGACTCCTTTTCCACCTGTTTGACCATAAATCAAAGCCTTTGCTTAATTCTAATTTCTGGGATGGAAAATGGTTGAAGAATGTATATATGCCGTCATTTAAAAAATAATATAGACCCTAACTTTCATTTGACATGTTCCTATGAACTTTATCTAGAATATATATAATTTTTAGATCAACTTAGATCTTGCAGAAACTATACTGTGTAACAGAGTTTCTGGAAAAAGTAAATTCTATGTTCTTCCACTATTTTTCAACGAAAGTGTTTTTGTGTGCTCTCCTCTACAGACAACCTGAACCTCGACTCCGGCCTCATCATGAACTCAAGTGACCTGCCGCTCCTCTCTCGTTGACCTCACCTTTGACCTTTCAGAAGGTCTCTGGTTGCATCCCAAATGGCAACCTATTTCCTACATAGTGCACCACTTTTGACTAGAGCCCATTGTACCCTGGTCAAATGCAGTGCACTAAATAGGGTGCAATTTGAGCAGCCCAGGCATCTCTCTTATAGACAACAGCTGAGATCCTTCAGAAGAGTTGCTTTGGCAGATCTCTATGGGTGTGTCTGAAAAGACACCCTATTCCCTATTTAGTGCACTGCTATTGGCCAGAAATAATATTTCAGATGCAAATTTCTCTTTGCATGAGGAATGTGTTGGTGAATGTAAATAATGTTGTTGTTTTTTTTGTACCATGCAAAAAGCCACTGTTCAGTGAGTCTGTGGCCCAGGCAGATACGAGTGGCCAAGGACTGTAGATTGCCACACTCTTAGTTTATGGCTATACATTAACTATGACGTTGGTACCCCATCGTCAAAAATATTCCTTTATGTAGGCAGCCCTGCGAAGGCCCCTTTGACAGTGCCACAACTGCAAACCGTTGTATACCGGACCATTGAGTTATTCATGAAACCCACCACTAAAGACAACTATTTGAAAATCATACTGGATAATGTCGCTATGGACTCAGAATCGTATCAAAGTATAGGAATTGGTTACAAATTCTGAGTTTAGTGTACAGTATTTTCCTTTCTGTATGACACTGTGGCAAATAACATTATTTTTCAAAACATGACCCACCTTCATCCTTCAGTTTCTTCCCCTAAAAATATTTGTATAGGAGGCCTCTCTCTAAAGACAGTGATGATAAAATGACCTGTGTGATTTGCTGAATTATGGTGAATAAAAGTTGAATTTAATACAACTAATGTAGTTGGCAGTAATATTCTTAATAATCAGGAATCTTTATTAAAATAAAATGTTTTACAATTGAATATACTGGTGGATACAGTAATAAAATGGTTGTGAAACTATCTCTGTCCATTTACACTCCCACACAATATACCCTATTTTTTTTCTAAAGCAATGAATCAAATTAACACCAACCCTCAAATGAGGGAGAGCCAAAATATGATGCAAAAAAAAAAAAAAAGACCACCATGCATGATACCACTTTAACACAGGGCTTCTGCTGATAAAAACATTCACTATTGAGTAAAATAATGGTGGTACAATACAGAATATGAACACAGCAATTGATGCCATTTTAGCTCCAGGCTGATGGGTGAATAAAGATGCATTGTAGACAAGTGTGTGTCTGGCATTAGCAGCACAAGCCATACTGGCAGCCCAGAGACAGGCTAGCTACCAGTAATGATGTGCTGCTAACACCAGACACACTGGAGACAGGCTAGCTAGCTACCAGTAATGATGTGCTGCTAACACCAGACACACTGGAGACAGGCTAGCTAGCTACCAGTAATGATGTGCTGCTAACACCAGACACACTGGAGACAGGCTAGCTAGCTACCAGTAATGATGTGCTGCTAACAGCAGACACACTGGAGACAGGCTAACTAGCTACCAGTAATGATGTGCTGCTAACACCAGACACACTGGAGACAGGCTAGCTAGCTACCAGTAATGATGTGCTGCTAACACCAGACACACTGGAGACAGGCTAGCTAGCTACCAGTAATGATGTGCTGCTAACACCAGACACACTGGAGACAGCAGCACATCATTACTGGTAGCTAGCTAGCCTGTCTCCAGTGTGTTTGGTGTTAGCAGCACATCATTACTGGTAGCTAGCTAGCCTAACACCAAACACACTGGAGACATGCTAGCTACCAGTAATGATGTGCTGCCAACACCAGACACTGGAGACAGGGCAGCTAGCTACCAGTAATGATGTGCTGCTAACACCAAACACACTGGAGACAGGCTAGCTACCAGTAATGATGTGCTGCTAACACCAGACACACTGGAGACAGGGCAGCTAGCTACCAGTAATGATGTGCTGCTAATAATCAAATTAACACCAACCCTCAAATGAGGGAGAGCCAAAATATGATGCAACAAAAAAAAAAGACCACCATGCATGATACCACTTTAACACAGGGCTTCTGCTGATAAAAACATTCACTATTGAGTAAAATAATGGTGGTACAATACAGAATACGAACACAGCAATTGATGCCATTTTAGCTCCAGGCTGATGGGTGAATAAATATGTATTGTAGACAAGTGTGTGTCTGGCATTAGTAGCACAAGCCATACTGGCAGCCCAGAGACAGGCTAGCTACCAGTAATGATGTGCTGCTAACACCAGACACACTGGAGACAGGCTAGCTAGCTACCAGTAATGATGTGCTGCTAACACCAGACACACTGGAGACAGGCTAGCTAGCTACCAGTAATGATGTGCTGCTAACACCAGACACACTGGAGACAGGGCAGCTAGCTACCAGTAATGATGTGCTGCTAACACCAGACACACTGGAGACAGGCTAGCTAGCTACCAGTAATGATGTGCTGCTAACACCAGACACACTGGAGACAGGGCAGCTAGCTACCAGTAATGATGTGCTGCTCCTGAGTGGCGCAGTGGTCTAAGGCACTGCATCGCAGTGCTAACTGTGCCACTAGAGATCCTGGTTCGAATCCAGGCTCTGTCGCCGCCGACCGCGACCGGGAGACTCATGGGCGGCGCACAATTGGCCCAGCGTCGTCCAGGGTAGGGGAGGGAATGGCCGGCAGGGATGTAGCTCAGTTGATAGAGCATGGCGTTTGCAACGCCAGGGTTGTGGGTTCGATTTCCCACGGGGGGCCAGTATAAAAAAAAAAATGTATTCACTAACTGTAAGTCACTCTGGATAAGAGCGTCTGCTAAATGACTAAAATGTAAAATGTAAATGTAATGCTGCTAACACCAAACACACTGGAGACAGGCTAGCTACCAGTAATGATGTGCTGCTAACACCAGACACACTGGAGACAGGGCAGCTAGCTACCAGTAATGATGTGCTGCTAACACCAGACACACTGGAGACAGGGCAGGTAGCTACCAGTAATGATGTGCTGCTAACACCAGACACACTGGAGACAGGGCAGCTAGCAACCAGTAATGATGTGCTGCTAACACCAGATACACTGGAGACAGGCTAGCTACCAGTAATGATGTGCTACTAACACCAGACACACTGGAGACAGGGCAGCTAGCAACCAGTAATGATGTGCTGCTAACACCAGATACACTGGAGACAGGCTAGCTACCAGTAATGATGTGCTGCTAACACCAGACACACTGGAGACAGGCTAGCTAGCTACCAGTAATGATGTGCTGCTAACGACAGACACTGGAGACAGGGCAGCTAGCTACCAGTAATGATGTGCTGCTAACGACAGACACTGGAGACAGGGCAGCTAGCTACCAGTAATGATGTGCTGCTAACGACAGACACTGGAGACAGGGCAGCTAGCTACCAGTAATGATGTGCTGCTAACACCAGAAACACTGGAGACAGGGAAGACACCAGCAGGCAGACCAAGGGAAAGCCCAAGAGCCAGGCCGACAGAAGGATAGACCTCTCTTTGGCGCCAGAGACACTAAAGACTGAAGAGACCAGCCAAGTCGACTGACAGACTGGAGAGGAAGACAGATTAGAGACCATCTGACCACCTGGCCTTAGTTTGGAGCGAGACAGACCACCAGGCAGGTCGACGGGCCTCAGTCTCCAGACACACGGAGGAGAGAGACCAGTAGCCAGGCCAACCAGCAGCAGGACCACCAGGCCACTCTGTCTGGAGCCAAAGGCCCCTTTCATTAGGAGTGTCAGACTGGGAGGGATCAACACTGAATCATGGTCCTTTGAATGGCTAGATAAATGTAACAATGGAGTGTGGCTTGATTCATTCCTACAGAGTAGAAATAACTGGAACATTAACTTTCCTTTGAGTAATATCTGATTATAAAAGGTCAAACTAACAATCACAAAGTTGTATTTAGATACATAGTATTTCTTTCCAATGAGAGGAATAGCCATTTCATGCTGAAAAGCCACCAACAAACTGAATGCCAATCTAAAAGGGGCAAAAAACATGACATTGAGATAACAGTAAAACTGTCATGCTGACAACATTACAGATTATACAAACACCACTGACATCAACTGCCAGTGCAGATAAGGGGTCCTCCTTCAGAATGGAACATTGATATCTGTCAGTATTGGAATTGCAAAACGGTTCTTTTGGAATGGGCGTGATTCCAAGGGCTCCCAGTGACAGCACATAATGATTTGGAGTTGCTTTTAGATGCCTGCAAAACATGATGTGCTGCTAGAGGGTACCCCGGAGAGAGGCACAGAGAGGGAGAGAGACACAGAGAGAGAGAGAGAGAGAGAGAGAGAGAGAGGGGATTCTCCATGGTATGAAGCTGTGGAGATAAAGAAAAAAACAGATAATTAACATAACATTCTAACAAGATTTTCCCACTCATGGTTCAGTACAAGATTATTCTAGCACTTTATTTAAATTACACAGAACCAAGATATTACATATAGGCCTGTAACATAGTTTAAAGATATGTAATTTTTTACACTGGTTGCAAATTGCTTCTAGAGTTATATCAAAGAAACAGGAGTTGTGAGTAGTACAACAGTAGTTATGCTTTATTTAAAAAAAATAAAGAGCAAAGAGAGATAGTGAAATTATTTTCTTGGCAAATGCAATACTGAGTAAATTCTATGTAATTAATAGGAATTGAAATTATACTGCAATTATAATACAACTTTATTTACATACAATTATTTGAGACCACAAAATGGACGGTGGGCAAGTGGACAAAATGGTGGATGAAGATGACAAAAGAGAAGTAGAGAAGACACTTTCTGAACAGTTCACTAACTACACCAAAGGTGCTTACATTAATCTATTCACATTATATCTGAATGTAAAGACACCTAGTCCGTAAAAATATACTTAATAAAAAAATCACTATTTGCATAATATTTAACCCTGACTATTTTTGCCTGTTTTACCCTTTTCCCTAGGTTTTACATAGATTGTGTACTGACAAGACTGTTACATGCCGCAGAAAAAGATATACACAAGCCAACAGGACCACATCC